GAGTGATAAATATAGCAGCTGAGAGCACCATGCTGTTCTGTAAAAAAAACACCAAGCAGGCATTTAGGCTCCAATCCTGCAATTAACTGCATGTGAGTATAGGCATAGGGCTATGTACAGTAAATTGTAGGTTCATCCATGAAAGTTTGACAAATGCCATCTTGCTTGACACACTGTGGACTAACCTCTAGATTAGGAAGCATAGGTCTCTTCACCTTGAACTTAATTAAGTGCCAAGCTCTGTGGTTGAGCGCTGTAACAGACTGATATCCTCAGTGGATCAGGCCTGGAGGGGGACCTATAACTGACTAGTGGGTTCTACTAACTCAGCCCCAAAACACCAAGTTACATCATACAAGACAGCCTGTCATATAAATGCAGATTATGATGCAGTTGCACTTACAAAGGTAGACAGGTATTACCCCCTTTTTTATAGATAGTGAATCAGAGGCCCAGAGTGATTAGAGAGTAAGGATAGTCTTGTTCTTCAGGCACCACATTGGGAATCAGAAGATCTGAGTTCACATTGTAGTTATGCCACCAATTTAACATGTGACTTTGATTAATCTTAATTTCTCTGCCTTAGTACCCTGATCTGTACAATGGTAGTAATACTTGTCCCTTTCTTCGATGCTTTGTCTTGCATATTTAGACTGTAAGCTTTCTGGAAACGGAACTGTGTCTTGCTAGGTGTTTGTGTGGTGCCCTGATCTTGGGACCTTTTGGTATTACTACAAGATAAATAATAAGTGCTAAATCACTGATTAAACTAAACTCAAGCAGCAAGTCATTTGAAGAGCTGGGAATAGAATCCGGGTGTCCTGACTCACGACCTAGTGCCCTATCCCCAGGACCAATTATAGAGAGAACATTGCTGGGCATAGGAAATAGTAATTCTATCACTAACGGACCAAAACTCTGTTGTTCTAACTCATTTCATGCCACTTCCCAAACTGAATAATCCTTAGTGGCTGTCTTGAAGGAGGAATGATGCTGGATTGCTCGCTAGCACTGTTACAGGAAAAAGGGGTCTTGCACTGCACTAAGAGGGAGGTGAGATTGAGGCTCAGCTTCTTTGGGTAATGGAAGAATTTCAACCAATGGTGTACAGCTTGGATCAGTGTTCTTCACAGCTTGTATAATCAAGTAGGAAGGCACTGGGGGGCAATTGCTGACTGAGATGAATGCCTTCTTACAGGAATTTAGGATACAATTTCCCCCACTAACAAGTGGCAGTTTATTGAGCAAGGATTTAACAATCTTCTGACATTGACAACCTTGCCAATTACCACCCTGGTCTCTTATCTTTGCTTTCTGGGAAAGGTCACTGAGAAGGTCATAGTGTGGCAATGCTAGTGTTAACTGTAGTCCTCAGACTTTCTTGATCCTTTTCAGCCCATCTTTTGGCCTCAGTATACACTATAGAGATTGCACTGGTCTCATTGGTTGTTCACAATCTCCTAGTAATGCTAAAGGTCAGATATTTATGCCCATTCTTTTAGATCTGTCAACAGTCTTTAAAATCTTTGCCCACAAGGTCTTGTTGACACATGACCAGGAGTACGTAGATGGTATTGCTAGTGGCATGCCCTTCTTTCCTGTCAGAAAAATTTGAGAGAATTATTCTCAGTGATCACTTGTCTGCCCCCAAGAAATATCTCCTGTGGGTTTCCAGACACTCATCTCTCCTGTTCTGTGTATATGATCGGGCACCCATGAATATGCTAGACACCGCTCCATATACATAAAAAGATGTGATCCCTGCCCTGAAGGAGCTTACAAACTAACTGAGGCTTCTGGGAAGATAATGAGATCAAAATGTGGCTGTCATGCAACTCTGACTCATTTTCATCAAATGAAGATGACAGAGCATCTTTGCTTTCCCAGAGCCTGACTGAGCCCAAGACTTGGGATGTGAACTGGCAGAAGTTCAGCTCAAGCAGAATTGCAGTAATGCTCTACATGGGGCTACCCCTAAATATCACTTAACAGCAACATCAGTCAGTTTTCCTGAATAGTGATATATTACATCCATTTGCTAGGAACTGGCTTTCTATTCACTTTGCCCTGTATTATCAGAGTCTCAGCTACCTGGTGCATCATCTCGCTCTCCATAAGCCATCATAGCAGCTGAAGTCAGATGGAGTGAGTGTTCATGCTCACTAGCACCTAGATTTCTACATCTGGGGGCTAGATGTACTCAGACCAAAGCCCTTAATCAGCTCCCCCAATAAATTCAGCAGAACCCAAGTATGTTGCCTTTTAGGACACGTTTTTCACAGGATCATAGAGTTTAAGGCCAGAAGAGACTATTAGATCATATAGTCTGACCTCCTGTATAACACAGACCATAGAGTTTCACCCACTTACCCCTATACTAGGGCTGTCAAGCAATTAAAAAAATTAATTGCGATTAATAGCACTGTTAAACAATAGAATACCATTTATTTAAATATTTGTTGATGTTTTCTACATTTTCAAATATATTGATTTCAATTACAACACAGAATACAAAGTGTACCGTGCTCACTTTATATTTATTTTTGATTACAAGTGTTTGCACTGTAAAAGACAAAATAAATAATATTTTTCAATTCACCTAATACAAGTACTATAATGCAAATCTCTTTATCATGAAAGTTGAACTTACAAATGTAGAATTATGTACAAAAATACTGCATTAAAAAATAAAACAATGTAAAATTGTAGAGCTTGCAAGTACACTCAGTCCTACTTCTTGTTCAGCCAATCACTCAGACAAACAAGTTTGTTTACATTTGCAGGAGATAATGCTGCCCTCTTCTGGTTTACAACGTCACCTGAAAGTGAGAACAGGTGTTCTCATGGCACAGTTGTAGCCAGGGTTGCAAGATATTTACATGATTACAGATGTGCATGCTTCAACCACTATTCCAGGGGACATGTGTCCATGTTAACCATCCAAAGCAGTGCGGATCGACGCATGTTCATTTTCGTTATCTGAGTCAGATGCCACCAGCAGAAGGTTGATTTTCTTTTTTGGTGGTTTGGGTTCTGTGGTTTCCTCATCAGAGTGATGCTCTTTTAAGACTTCTGAAAGCATGCGCCACACCTCGTCCATCTCAGATTTTGGAAAGCACTTCAGATTCTTAAATCTTGGGTTGAGTGCTGTAGCTATCTTTAGAAATTTCACATTGGTACCTTCTTTGCATTTTGTCAAATCTGCTGTGAAAGTGTTCTTAAAATGAACAACATGTTCTCGGTCATCACCCGAGACTGCTATAACATGAAACATATGGCAGGATGTGGGTAAAACAGAGCAGGGAACATACAATTCTCCCACAAGGAGTTCAGTCACAAATTTAGTTAACGCATTATTTTTTTAACGAGCATCAGCATGTCCTCTGGAATGGTGGCTGAAGCATGAAGTGGCATACAAATGTTTAGCACATCTGGCACGTAAATACCTTGCAATGCTAGCTACAAAAGTGCCACGCAAATGCCTGTTCTCACTTTGTGGTGACATTGTAAATAAGAAGAGGGCAGCATTATATCCTGTAAATGTAAACAAACTTGTATGTCTGAGCGATTGGCTGAACAAGAAGTAGGACTGAGTGGACTTGTAGCCTCTGAAGTTTTACATTGTTTTGTTTTTGAGTGCAGTTATGTAACAAAAAAAATCTACATTTGTAAGTTGCACTTTCAGGACAAAGAGATTGTACTACAGTACTTGTATGAGGTGAATTGAAAAATACTATTTCTTCTGTTTATCATTTTTACAGTGCAAATATTTGTATTCAAGATATACACTTTGATTTCAATTCCAACACAGAATACAAGATATACATGAAAATGTAGAAAAACATCCAAAATATTTAATACATTTCAATTGGTAGTCTCTTGTTTAACAGTGTGATTAAAACCGTGATTAATCCCGATTAATTTTTTAATCACGATTAATTTTTTCAAGTTAATCGCATGAGTTAACCCCAATTAATTGACAGCCCTACCCTATACTGAATCTAACAACTTCAGTTTCACTAAAGCATAGCTTTCAGAAAGGCATCCAGAAAGTTTTGATTCGAAGACATCAAGATATAGAGAATCCGCCAGTTCCCTGCTCATTTCTTCCAACTCACCCTCAATGTTAAATTTGTGCTTTATTTCTAACTTGAATTTGTCTGGCTTTAACTTTCAGCCACTGGTTCCTGTTATGCCTTTCTCGGCTAAATGAACATGGCATTTGCGCCGGTTTAAGGCGCTGGCTGCTGCCTGGTGTCTGTGTGCGAGAGTGGTGGGGACAGAGGGATTCCCTGGGTAGCCGAGCTAGGACAAAAGAAAGGTCCCTTCTTTTAAATAATGCCACAAACTGTTTTCCAGATTTCCGTGCCCGCCAGGAGCTGCAGCACTGGGAGCCGTTGATAAGTGAGCAGTGGGACATGTGCAGTGAGGGGCGGGGGCCATGGGGGACCCCGATGGGGCGAAGGGGACGCGGGCTGACACTAGGGCTCTCCTGACGGCGGATTTCGGAGGGGGCTGGGAGAACGTGGCGGAACATGACCTGGGCGACCGCACGACGGACAAGGCAGAGGAGGCTTTGGGGGCCCCCGCCGGGGCCGAACCCAGGGGGCGCGGTCGGGGCGGGCCCGGAGAGCCGCTTGGTACCTGGCTGAGCACGAAGAGCCCGTAAGCCGCCAGCCAGACGGAGCAGGTAGCGGCGCTCAGCGAGCGCAGCTGCAGCCGGGGGCAGCGCACCGAGAACTCCCGGCAGGAGGCGCTGTACTGGCGGCGCTGCAGCGCGATGCGGCCCCCGGACACTGCCCGGTACACCCCCTCCTCCATCTTGCCCCGCCGGCCCCACTGAGCAGGCCTCCCGCCGCGCAGAGCGGCCCCGACTGCCCGCCGCTCTAGCCACGGCTTGCCGTCAGCTCCATGGTACAGAGCGCTCACTTCCGCCGCTGCCCGGCCGCGCCCCCGGCGTTGCCCTTTGACCTGACTCGGTCTCCTGCCTCCCCCTCCAGCCTCCGCGAGAGCTGCTGCACGAGGAGTCCGGGGCCGAGCCGCCCCACGCAGCAGCCCCTCCCTGCCCTGCTGGAGCGGGGGAGCGTTGTGATCCCTGTTTGAGGGATGGGGAAACTGAGGCCAGGGGCCGCACAGCTGAAGAAGCGGCCCCTGAGTGACAGACTGTTGCCCTCCGCCCCATTGGCTCGTACAGCGGGGGACTTAAGTCTCCAAGTGCCCTTATCTGTACCCGCAAGTGATCGCAGCACAGCACTGCTGACCCAATTCACAGACACCAAGTCAGAGGTGTGGTTGTGGCTCCTTACGAAGAGCCATAGTTTGTGAAAGGTAAAGGCCCAGGTTGTCTATGGCTGCTGATTGTAGGGGCCTCCCATCTTGGGTGCTAGATTTGAGCTCCATGGAACCTGATTTTTCAGAAGTACTGAGCACTCCCCATCCAGATAAAGGCATGGGGAGATCCAGATGCTCAACATCTCTGACAATCAGGCCCAAGGTGTCTCAATTCATGTAATTGAAATGAATGGCCACATTTTGATTCTGCTTAGGGCTTGAGCCCTAATAAGGTAAAACATGCAGACAAAACCCTGTTGACTTCAGTGGGGCTTTATGCTGTTATAAATTTCTCTAGTCCCACTCTTAGCAGGGTCTTGGCAGGTGTATCCTATAAGAAGGACACCCGCTAGCAGTCCTAGAAAATCAAGCTCAGACAAATAGGACAAACCCACCTAAGGTAAGAGTCTGAAAGAGACTCCCAAATATTTTCCTGGCTACCTAAACCATAACGATTCTATTATAAACTGTCAACAGGTACGGCTAGATACTTTTTCTGAATATTTATTTTACAATCCAGCAATACGTTAGAAATTCAAACTGTTCCTCTGAGCATCATATTTATCTACAGTGAATTGTATCTAATTGTCTAAGTTAGGTGCTTCAGAACTTCCTCAGTCTTCTATAGTCTTTGACTAATCTAAATAATCTTGTGTCATGCAAATTTTGCCAGGTCACTGTTCACCCTCTTCTTCAGATCTGTAATAAATAAGTTAAAGCTGCTCTTAGTATAGATCATTGCAATATCCTCCTATTTGCTTCCTTCTGATTAAAAACTGATGACTTATTCCTGTTTTTCTGTTTCTGTAGATTTCTAGTACACAAATGAACTTCTCTCACACCCTTTATCTAGTTTCCTTAACCACACCTTCTTATGAGGAACCTGATTAAAGCTTTTTGAAAGTCTAAACCAATAATATCAACTGTTTTTTCTTTGTCAACCTCAAAGACTTCTCCTAAATTGAGAGATGTGATTCTCGGTTAGAACCCACATTAATTGGGTCTTGTATTGTGTTTCTCTACTAGGACAGGTGCTCTTCTTAATATTGCTTCAAACAACTTGCCGAGTGCTGAAGTAAAGATATTGGCCTTTAAATGTCAAGCTTAATCCTAATGCTTTAAAAAAATAGACCTAATATTGCCCACCTTCGAGTTCTCAAGAATATCTGCTAACTTTCATTGTAAATTACATTGTTTTGTTAACAGCTCACCCACTTAATTCTTAAATCCTTCAGAACTTTTGGGTGAATACTCTGTGGGCCTGATGACTTGCAGCTGTCACCATACCTCATAAGGAGTAGACAAGAGAGGGAACTGAAGAACCCATGCTTAGGAATGCCTGCTGCAGAGGTACTTATGAAATTAAAAGAATTAAAGTTAGCTTAAGTTTGATTTATAATTTGTGGCTAGTACCGAAAAGGTCCCAGTCAGCAAGTAAAAGATGGCCATGAGAATAATAAGTATTATTATTTATAGTGTGGGAAAGATATATGTGGTTCAAAAAGTAACTGATAAAGCAAAAAGACAAAGGAAAGCTGTCTTAAAAAAAACAAGTACAAACCATCCCATTATATAGCTGTAGGGTAACCAGATGTCCTGATTTTATAGGGATAGTCCTGATATTTGGAGCTTTTTCTTACATAGGCATCTATTACCCCCCCCCCACCCCATGTCCTGATTTTTCACACTTGCCATCTGGTCACCCTATTCAGCTGGTAATAAGGAGAGAGGAGGCAAAAGGAAGGCCTTGGAGGAAAGAAAGTAGCAAGGATAAACTGCTTCAAACTGGGTTTTTGCTAAAACTAGCAAGTTAGCTGAAGTTTATAAAAAGAGCCATGAAGCTGCCGGTTCTTTTTCAGATCCTACCTGATCATGCTGGAGCACGCCAGGATGAGATGGTTTTCCCTAGGTCAGGCCTGTTTGTAAGTATACTGATTGCATGCTTATGAATACTTTGTTACTGTATTGGGTGTAGTGACTGTTTATTTTTAGGGTTCTAGGCATGTTTACAGCAATTGTATAAAATATCATTTGGCCTTTGGATTTAAGAAAGGAATTGTTGATTAAATTAGTGTCTGGTGGTCTCCAATAATTTCAGATACTATTAATGATTCCAGAATTTTTGGCGACCACGAAAGGACCCCTGACATTAATTTCGGTTGCTGCGAACCCCCAAAGTGAAGGGATAGTAGCCTGTTATCTGGGGACAATATAGAATTCTTTCCTAAAGAGAAATTCAATAAAATAAGGGGACTAGAGGGAGGTACTTTAGATACCTATGTAAAAGAATGCTTGGCAGAGCATGGCAGAGGTCTGTTGAATGCCACTGATTTTAAAACAAAATAATAAAAAAAAAAACATTGGCAGCCACAGAAAAAACAGTATCTAGTTTCTTTTACCCTAAGGCAAAGAGAGCCAAAATAAAGCAGCAGTTTTACAAGCATTATTTCTGGTGGCTACAAACGAAATATGCCACCCTGAGGGATGAATGCAAAAAGCATAGAAAACAAATCAAAGTTGTAGAGAAGGAAACAAGCTAAATGGAAAAGATTCCTGGAAGGAAAAAACAATGTCTGTTGCATAAATCCAAAGTGAAAAGCAGTTGTCTTTCAAGGACCGTATTTAGTGAGTACAGCTTTGCAGGCAAAGTGTACTTAGTTAAGAAATACTGTAAGTGCAAAAAACATAAAGATAAACTTAGAGCAGAGGTGGACAAACTCCTGCCTGGCCCCTGAGCTCCTGCCTCAGGAGGCTAGCCCCTGCCCCCTCCCCTGCCCCGCAGCCTCAGCTCACCCCGCCGCCTCAGCTCACCCTGCCGCGGCGCAATGCTCTGGGCGGCGGGGCTGCGAGCTCTTGCCGGGCAGCACAGCTGCAGAGCCGGGGCCTGACCTGGTGCTCTGTGCTGCGCAGTGGCGTGGCTGGCTCCAGCTGGGCGATGTGGCTGCCTGTCCTGGTGCTCTGGGCGGTGTGGCTGTAGCGCCGCCAGCCACTGGCGCTCCAGGCAGCGCGGTAAGGGGGCAGGGAGCGGGGGGGTTGGATAGAGGGCAGGGGAGTTTGGGGGGGTGATCGGGGGGTGGGGGGGTGGATAGGGGTTGAGGCGGTCAGAGGGTGGGGAACAGGGGGGTTGAATGGGGGCAGGAGTCCCCAGGGGGCAGTCAGGAAGGAGTGGGGGGGTTGGATGGGGTGGCAGGAGGTCTGGGGGCTGTTAGGGGACAGGGAACAGGGTGGGTTGGATGGGGCAGGAGTCCTGGGGAGGCTGTCAGGGGACAGGGAGTGGGGGGGTCAGATAGGGGGCGGGGCCGGGCCACGGCTGGCTGTTTGGGGTGGCACAGCCTCCCCTAACCAGCCCTCCATACAATTTTGGAAACCGGATGTGGCCCTCAGGCCAAAAAGTTTGCCTGCCCCTCACTTAGAGACTGAGAAAAAGTCAGCTGAGAAATGTGTTATTCTGGGAGATAAGACAGAAGAGTTATGGTCCCAGAATTTAGTAGCTAGTGCGGTCTTGGGAAGTGTCTTATTAAACAATGAAAAACTAGTGAGTAATTTAAAGAAAAGGTATGTGCAGTTAAAAGGAGCTTTTGTGCAAATTAACACTGCAGAGCTCAGAGGGGACTGGATAGCTGAGGGTAGCGCAAGTAATAAAATGTTAAAACATTAGACGTGATTAAATGTTAGAGGATGTTGGTGTTTAAAAAAAAAATGCTTGGTGTGATAGTGAAACTCAGGAATGGCAGTACAACTCCATGCAGTCATGCCTTAGTAATAAAACAAATTATGTAAAGGGGAGATCAGGTGGGGACAACTATGTTTTGTCCCCAGAAGCCTTTACAGCTGTTCAGAAGGAAAAGGCCGCTTCCAGGGGAATGTATCTGTAAATAATTGTAAATGGCTGCTGCTGGCAGAGTGACAGTATGATCAGAACTATTTGACTGTGGAGAGACATAGTGAGTGAGGTAATATCTTTTATTGGACCAACTTCTGTTGATGAGAAGAGAGAGTTTGTAATACTCCTTTCGTATGTTTAAAATGAATTGACTTTTAAAAGGTTCCACTAAAATTCCATCCAAATCTTTCATTCTCAATTGCAAAGGGGGGAGGGATAGCTCAGTGGTTTGAGCATTGGCCTGCTAAACCCAGGGTTGTGAGTTTAATCCTTGAGGGGCCACTTAGGGATCTGTGGCAAAATCAGTACTTGGTCCTGCTAGTGAAGGCAGGGGGCTGGACTCGATAACCTTTCAGGATCCCTTCCAGCTCTATGAGATAGGTATATCTCCATATATTATAAAGTTGACATACACACACTCTTTGGGCAGCAGCCAACATCTCTGGGCAGTCTTAACTTTGTTAGCACTGAGACGCCCAAAATGTTAACTATTACAAAGTTTTAATGTTTTTTTAAATGAAGTTACAAATGTTAAATATAAACCAGTAAATGAAAATAGGGAATAAAAGGGCACAGGCAGAACTAGGATAGTGGGGAGAGACCCTGCATCCCTTTTTCAGTAATGAAGCAACAGCTGAGAGAGCTGCAGAAGAAAAATAAAATATTACTATATATTACATGTGTGTGTGTGTATATATAATTGGTATGGCTAATATGGTATAGCAAATAAAAAGTGAAAGTTAAATCATGAAAGGAGTGAGCATTCCTATGGAACATGCAGTGTATACAGTAAAAGGGGTAAAAGAAATGTAAACAAGACATACTACTTAATTAAAATCCTACCATGGCTCCAAAGAGGCTTTTTCAGATGTCTGTGTGCTTTGGAAGCAGAAACCAACTCAGCACCAAGAAAGATCAATGAATATAAGAAATGGTGATTAACCATTAAAAATTGTATCCAAAAGTTCTGATTAACTGTGGTGTAAAGTAAAGTTTATTAGGGAGTGAAAATCTATATCGGGATGTTTTGTAAATAGAAAAAGAATAATTGTATTTAAACTAAAACAAGTGTATACAAGATTGAAATGCCTTAGTGGATTGTAAATGAATGCAACTGATGGTTTAGGGTTGGTTAAACTTATTAAGAAAATGTTGTGCAACATGTAGATGATATCCTGGTGCAGACAGGGAATGCCATTAAAAGGTACTAGAAGTCCTGTGTGAGGTTTTCTTGAAAGCTGGACTAAAGCTAAACCCAAAAAAGGCTCAGCTCACAAAGCAGCAGATTTCCTTCCTGGGACTAATCCTACAACCAGGCCTGTGTGCTCCAAACAAAAGCTTCATGTGATTTTTAGAGCTGCCCTTCCCTATTTCAGAAACAGCACTAGATCACTGCTGGGTATGACAGGCTTTTGTGGGGGATTTCATCGCTAATTACACAATAATCCTTGCACCCCTATACCACCTCCCCCAGAAGAAGATAGAGTGGGAATGGATCCCCCCCAGCATACCCTGCCAGCGTATAAGTTAAAAGAGGCTTTTAGCACAAACTCCAGTTCTTAGCACCTCAGCTTATACAAAACCTTTTGGATTTTTTGTAGCAAGCAGGGAAACAGCCATTTCAGCTATTAACTCAGGATCTCACAACAGAGAAAAACATATTGCTTATGCTTCCTGGGTATTAAATGGAGTTGAAAAGCAGTATACCTGTATGAAAAATACTTACTGGGTGTTTAGTGGGCTCTGACACGTTTTAGATATCAGGTGGGGCTGGGACACATAAAACTATGTGACTCATACTCTTTAAAAGTATCTCTTGTCTGGTAAAATCAAAAATGGTACAGTGTCTTATGCTCAAATACATTTGTTAGTCTCTAAGGTGCCACAAGTACTCCTGTTCTTTTTGCGGATACAGACTAACACGGCTGCTACTCTGAAACTAGTTCTAGAATGACATGGTCCTTGCTGCTGGAAAAGCACCATCTTGAAGTCTGTCCTCTCAAAAACCCAGTCACCCTTACCAGCAGGACTGTTAATTGTACTCCATATGAGAGTCCTGGACAAATTTTCTCTAAAAAGGGGCCCTTAACCCTTTTATCCCATGAGCAGTACATAAGTTAAATTCTGAAGGGCGGGAGCCTGAGGGACTAGCAATATATGTTGATGAGTCATCCTGTCACTTGGACCCTAGTCACAAGATTTGCTGTTTGAGCTCCCTCCATTCAGGCTGAACCTGTGCAGCATAGGTGTAGTACACACTCAGCCAAGTGTACTGAATTGTCTGTTGTGTCACAGGCATTATCACTCTGTAATAAAGGACAATTACTGGTTGGTGTGATATGTTCAGACTCAGTGGGTCTGTGATGCTTTGACAACATACCTCCCTGGGTGGAGTATGAATTTATTTGTAGTGCAGATCACAGGCCTTTACGCTTCTCAAGCCCTTTTGTCCTGTGTGTAGGAATTAGTAGATATATTGGGTAACGCGGTGATATATGTGGTTAAGGTAAAAGCTCATTCCAGACATAGGAAGTAAGCAAGAAAAATAAATGTGGATGAAGCTGCTGCTGCTAGGGAGGCTGTGGTGTGGGTCCCGCCCCGATTAGCCAATCCTTGCTGTTACCACCCATGCACAAAGAGAAAACACTGATTTAGGGTATGTCTACACTGGCAGAGTTACAGCGCCGCTCAGAGAGCGCTGAAGTGAAACCGCTGTTGTGAGTTCACACTGTCATCTGCCTGCGCAATAGCGTGTTCACACTTACGGCACTTGCAGCGGTATTCGGAGCAGTGCACTCTGGGCAGCTATCCCACAGAGCATCTCTTCCTCTTCTGCTGCTAAGAGTTGTGGGAAGGCGGAGGGGATCGTGGGGCATCCTGGGTCCTGTCCCAATGCCCCATGATGCATTGCTTCGCATCCCAGCAATCCCTGTGCTTCCGTCCGCATTTGGCGCCATCTTTCAATGGTTTGCGTACTGTGCGCTCTGCCTCTTTGGTCTGCAGAAATGGATCCCGCACTATTGACCAATATGCTGCTCGCTCTGACTAACACGTCATGAGTGGCAGTGGAGTTATTCTTTAAACTACAAAGCCAAGAGGAGTGCGACATTGATCTCGCCACATGTAGGAGCTACGACATGAGATTGCTTGTGGCATTCACGGCAGTGCTGACCACAGTGGAACGCTGCTTTTGGGCTCAGGAAACAAGCACTGAGTGGTGGTGTGACATTATCTGATTAAAATATGACCATATAGATCTTTGTTGCAACCACGGTTATATATTTGCAGCAAATCTTGTACAAAGGTTGTCAAGTGAGGTGTCTATGAAAAGGTTATGATTTGCTGGTTATGATTATGCTATCTGTATGCATGCATCATTTTTGTATGTTGTTGAGTTATGAAGTTGTAAGTATTGGCTCTATACTTGGATTTCAAATGTTTGCTCCTGGGGTAACACCCACGAAGTAATTAGCCAGCACATCTTGGAGGGAGTATTCAAATTGAGTGACCCATCAAAAGAACATTTAACTAACAATGGACCATGGGAGACACCTATCTACACTTAATGAAATTTCCTGCTGTGACTAGGCGAAATGCATGGACATGTGACTTGCCCATGTGACTCCAAACTCTATCTTGTTGCTGTGATTTTCCACAGCAA